CAGCAGAAACGCCAGACGAGAATGCGAAGAAGCTGAGGGAGTTGTTCGAAGTCGTGCGTCGGAATTTGGAGAAGGCTGCCCAGGACCAAAGCAGCCACTACAACCTAAGACGGAGAGAGTGGAAGCCCAAGGTGGGAGACATAGTGTGGGCTAGAGAACACCATTTATCGAAGGCAATCGAGGGGTTCGCTGCAAAGCTGGCACCTAGGTACGACGGGCCATACCAGGTCACGGACTTCACATCGCCAGTAATTTGCAAAATACGTCACCAAAGGACACAGAAGGAGCGTACAGTACACATAAGCGGGCTCAAACAGCAAAACACGGAGACGCTGACGGTGTAAGCAGCCATAAATGCTCTGCAAAGAAAGAAAAGGAGGCAGGCAGACATACGGGAAGAGCTGAAACGAACACGGGGACAATGCATACCTATAAGATGTCACGAGGAGTAGCCATAAGAAAATAGAACAGAAAGGGCGAGCGATCTTAGCGTCGGACGAATGCCAAAGTCAACCGCATCAACGGTTTAAGCGTCGGGCACAGGCCAGAGTCTATAAGATGCCACTGGAAGCAGCCACAATCACAAGCAAAAAAATAGAAAAGAAAGGGCGAGCGATCTTAGCGTCGGACGAGTGCCAAAGTCAACCGCATCAACGGTTTAAGCGTCGGGCACAGGCCAGAGTCTATAAGATGCCACTGGAAGCAGCCACAATCACAAGAAAATAGAATAGAAAGGGCGAGCGATCTTAGCGTCGGACGAATGCCAAAGTCAACCGCATCAACGGTTTAAGCATCGGGCACAAGCCAGAGTCTATAAGATGCCGCGAGAAGTAGCCACAAACACAAAGTTTTTTTTTCCAAAATGGCAGGCGATCTTAGCGTCGGACAAGGGCCAGAGCCAACCACAGGGGCACTTTATCGTCGGGCACGAGTCAAAGTCTATAAGATGCAAGGCACAGCCACAAGAGGAGGAAAAAAAACAGTTCTCACTCATCTTTGCAAAAACAAATAATAGAGAATTCTAACACAGAACAGAGTTATACAAAAAAAAAAAAGAACGACAAGCACGAGCCAGGAATACAATGGTACTACTGCAAGAACCGTAGAAGCGCAGGAGAAGGAATACTTACGGTTTCTTCCCGAGGAAAGAGAGAGGACGGCACTCTTAAGTCAAGGTGCCGTAAGAGAGCGACTCCGAGGGAAATAACGGGACCGTCGAAAAGGAGATGGCGAAGGACCCGTGTATAAAAGCGGGACGGGCGGCCGGGAACAGACATTCGAAAATTCAACGTAAAGATGAGCACCGTAATAACACGCGCGCAACGAAAAGGATCCCAAAGGACTCGGAGGGGGGCAAGGATGGTCTGGAGTGGGCAGCCAGCCCGGCACCCGGCCTACCCGAACCTCCCGACGGGTTCTGAAGGATCCAACGCCGTAGGAGCCCGAGCCCACAGTGTCCTCGGACAGCGAGGTCGAGATGGTCGACGACCCACGGATGGAGGCCAGGGGGTGGCGTCTGAAGAAGGCAGCGGGCAGGAGTGGCAGCTCGATCCCGGCCGGGACAGCGGAGGTTCCAGATGGGCCGTCTGGGCCTCCGAGGGCCAACGTAGTGACGAGGGCCGACATGGCTTTAGGGCTGTGTCGGACCCTCTGGAACGAGTGGACGCCGATCCCTCGTCAAGCAGATCGAAGGAGGTGGGAGAGGCAGCTGGAGGAGCTGCAACGGATCGCGGCCCACCACAAAGGGCTAAAGCAGAGAATGGCGGACACGAGGAAGGAGCGAGAGGCTCGCGCCAACTGGGAGGCGAGGCTTGAGGAGGCGGAGCGAGAGGAGCGGGCGCTGTGGGAGAGCCCAGTAATGCTGAGGGAGGTGCCACTGCCGACGCCAGGCATGGTCGTGCCCCCAACCCCCAGGCACTGGGTGAAGGAGAACGAGGAGGTGGAGCGGGCGCCGGAATCCAAACCAGAGTCGCCGGAGTGGGTGCCGGAACGGCCGCCGACGCCAGGAGGGCTTTGGGACGACGAACCCAACTGGGAGGCCACGCCCTCACCCCCGCGATGGGTGCCAGCGCGGCCGCCGACGCCGCATCCGGGGAGAGAAGAGGCAGCAGAGGATCGGCCGTCGCCTAGTAGGCCGCCATCGCCAATGGAGCAGCAGGCACAGAAGGAGGCACACGCGAGTGTGGGACCGCTGCGGCCAGAGTGGCGGGCCGAGATTCCAGAGGCGAGGGTCTCGCACTCCCTTAAGGAGTATGTGGAGGAGGGAGTGCGATGGTGCCAGCACACTGTGGAGTGGAGGTGACGAAGCGACGCCGATGGAGGAGGAATCCCCAAAGGAAGCCGAGGCAGCGCCGGAGGATGTGGATGAGGAACCCGAACCGTGGGAAAGGGGGCCCTGGGTGTGGCCCGAGGCGGCCGCCGTGGAGTCGAGGCCCGGCATCAGACGCCAAACATCCTTGCCCGTGGCCAGGTCTGGACCACCAGAGTGGCGCGAGACGTCGGCGCCAGACAAACGGAGATGGCTGGAGGTGCCGAGGACGCAGTGGCCTGCGGGAGTCGAGACGTGCGGAGCCGTCGAAGCCGCTCGGAGGCGCGGTGGCCGGCGCTGCGTAATAGTGCAGCGAGGGGCAGTGAAGTTCCGGGTCCGAGTGGGGCCAGGAGGCCTTAGGGTGTATACCCAGTAGCCAAACGGCGGAGCAGAGGAAAAGAGACCAATAAAAGAAAAGGAAAATGATGAAAGAAGCTTGAATTTAAAAAAAAGGGGAATGGAAAGTCTAGAGAAAAAAAAGAATGAAAAAGATAAACTAAGAGAAAAAAAACAGAAGATTTATAAGCCCAAGATCTAAAAAAAAAAAAAAAATAATAAAAAAGACATTAACGAGAACCGAAAGAATCTTCAAAAGAGAAAAAAAAGGAAGTTTTTAAACAGATTTTGAAAGCACTAAAAAAAAAATATTTATAATAAGAAACTAAGAAAAGAAAGGGAAACAGGAAGGTTGAGGAAAAGAAAGTTAGACGGGAAGCAAATAAAAACCCTCAGCGGAGTTTTAATAGTCGGAAAAAAGAGGAAGGGGAAACGAGAATAAAAAACAAAATGTAAACAAAAGATTGGGGGGGCCAGCTCAACGGAAAAAGAGGGGGAATTAGGCGATCGCATAAAAACGCACTTGCACAGAAAAAAAAACCACTCAGTAACACATTTAACACTCTAAAAAAAATTTAAAAAAAAAGGGGGGGGGGTCGTTTGATGTGAGCTGCAAGAAGAAGAGGGTAATTAGCGTGGGCAGCTAAGTGTTGGCATGTACTTGCGGTTTGGGGGGGGGCATTAACCTTTTCCACCCGAGGTCCAGTTTGAAGGGCAAATCAAGAGCATGGAGAGCTGTAGGGGAAAATGCAAGAAAACATGGAAAAAGAGAAAAGTGAAAGAGTAAACTTACCATGGGAATTTTTCCATTCCGGTGTGGACCTCGGGGTGGGAAGGTTTTGATAGAGTAGGATCGGCAGGCGGAACTATCGATAGGCTGATGGCCAAAAAGTGATGGGTCGCACTGCACTAAGCGCCCTGATCAAGTGGCAACCCGGCGTTTGATATGTGCAGGTGGGAACAGATCAGCCAGCTGACAGTATGACCAGAGGGAGCATCGGGAAGGCGCGCAAATTTGAATTGGCAGAGGGCGCGCCAATTCAAATTATCAGTTGTAACGAACTGCTTTTTATGTCTCCGCTCGCTACGTAAACGTGCGGCTAGCTCAGTATAGTTTGTGTGTTCGTCCCACCAAATTTATTGTTGTGTGACCCCGAGACCAAAGAAGAACGCAGAGTTAGGTTCGATTTAGAATATGTGTGCTGAGTTTATTGCTTGTAGATTTACAGCTTGATATTTGATTCGTGGCTCTGCTGTCTGACGACTCGATCTCCCTCGTTGACGCCGGTAATGGCTCCCGCGTCGACTCCTGCGGCGGCACGCTTGTCGCGCGTCCTCTGCCTTGCCGAGTCTTTCGGGCACCGGTCGCGTACTAGGCTCGCTACGAGTCTCTCACAACTTGACGGATGTTGAGCAGAAAACCTTACTGGAGGGCTAAGCAGCGTTGCTGCAGTCAACACTCCACGCTCCACCCTGAAGTCGGTCGGGATTTCGTCGGCTGGGCCTCGGCAGGTCCTCACTCTCGTGGGGACCGACTCCGGGCACCTTTCGCACAACTCCCTCGGATTTTCGTCGGCTGGCCCTCAGCAGGTTCTCAATCTCTCATGCGAACCGACGCTGGGTACCTCTCGCACAACATCCACTGGATCTTCGTCAGCTGGCCCTCAGCAGGTTCTCAATCTCTCATGCGAACCGACGCTGGGTACCTTTCGCACAACATCCACTTACTCGGACTCCACCAATGTCGTCGTTTTCGAGACTCGTAGACGCACCCTACAACTTACCTTGTACCCTCCCCTGCAGTACTGCGCGCTGGTTCGTAGCTGGTGAAATAAGCGCTTACCAGCAGACCACCCCTACTTACCCATCGACCCCAAGCAATGCGATCTTTCGGCGTACGCCTGGACCGACGGTGAGAATTGAGTGAGCGTGCGGTGGACCGGCCGGGACAGAGCAAGGGGCAGGAAGTCAAGGTTACGAAAGGCATTCGCCTGGAGAACACGGAGCCTGTTCACCCTAGTCTGGGAACGGTGACGCTTCCCACAGCCCATATAGTCCGACTCCATCACGTGAAATACCCGACATCAACGGCCACGGTTGAGCGGAAGCACTGGAGAGGGCGTCAAAGCAAAAGGAAGCATCGAGGGAATCATACCGAGGCGAGCATTTCATTCAATAGTCAAATTCAGAAGTCGAATAAACAAGTTTAAAGTCGAGAAATCAAAGTCGTCTTCTTATTCGCTGGTGGGGCAATCACAACATATAAATTTGGTGGGACAAACAACAACTATTACTGAGCTAGCCGCACAATTCAGTAGCGAGCATAAAAGGTAACAAAATCAGTTCGTTACAATATTTAGCGGGCGTTTCGCAGCCGCTCCAAAATGTGGTGGATCCGCGGCAACGGGTAAGCGTCGGGGATCGAATTGTCATTCAACTGCCTGTAGTCGATGCACATCCTGGCCTCTCCATTCTTCTTTGCCGCGATGACTATCGGCGCGCTATGGGGGCTCTTGGAAGGCTCTATGCGTCCGTCGCGGATAAGCTCGTCCATCTGTTGGTCGATGACGGCCCTCATCGCGGGATTCCGTGGATAATATCGTTGCTTGATAGGGCGATCGTGGCGCATCACGATCTTGTGCTCGGCGATGTGGGAGACGTTGGCGATATTGTTGAAGCGGGACAGCTCTCGCTCGAGAAACTTCCCTATCCAAGGCTCCGGGTAGTTTTCCTTGTGGCCTCTGGATTTTGGTTCCTCCTCGGCGTCGTACTCAGCGTCAACGATACCGCAGGATGGTGGCGGTGGTTCCAGGTCGCTGAAGCGGACTCTCTTGGCCCCTTTGCGAAATGGGTTTCGCTGAACCGCTGATGGATCAGGCGTAGGTAGTGCTCCGGCCCAGCTTGGGCCCGTGCACGCGTTGGTGTACCTGGCGCTGCGTTGAGCGTCAGGGCGTGGCGGTGAGTGCGCCTGGGTGGCGGCTTGCGTTTGCGCCCGTTTGGCGGCTTGTGTTTGCGCCTGGGTGGCGGCTGTGTTTGCGCCCGTGGGGCGGCTGATGAGTTCGCTCGTGGAGCGGCTTGGGTTTGCGCCTGGGTGGCGGCTTGTGTTTGCGCCCGGGGGCGGCTTGGGTGTGCGCCTGCGTTGCGGCGGCCGGTGAGTGTGCCTGGGTGGCGGCTTCGGAGTGCGCCTGGATGCCGGGTGTGTGCGCCGGCGTGGCGGAACGTTCGCTCCGGGTCGGTGCTGGCGAGCTGGTTCTCGCGGGTTGAGCAGGAATGGGTGGCTCGAGTTGGAGGGTCAGACCCCCACACTGTAGTGTGGCTCCGCCATAGCACAGGAAGTCCATGCCGAGTAGGAGGTCGTCCAGCACATCCGCCATGATGAGGGCAGAGACGCTGACCCGAGCCTTTCCCAGCTGGATCGTGATTCGCAGGGCCTGCGTGAGCTCCCTGCCTTGGCGGCCGCAGTCCCAGCAGAACATGGTCCTCTGGTTCCGGCATTCCGTGGCGTAGTGACCAGCCTGGCCGCAGATTCGGCAGGTGGTGCTGGGGTCGGTTGACCTGGTGGGCGTGGCCCCTTGGTTGGAGTTTCCTCCGTTGCCTCGACTGGCGGCGTCGTTGGTCGCGTTCCCAGGGCGTGGCACCTTCGGTGTGTGAGCAGGGTTCGCCCTAGGTCGTGCGTTTCTGCTCTGGGGTGGATACTCAGCGTCTGGGTTTGTTGACGGGTATCCACGGACGGGTCGGCCTCCGCGGCTGCGGGCAACTTCGTAGTTGACCACCAGGTGTGTAAGCTCGGTCAACGTCTTAAAGTCCTGACGGCGGGTGAACATCTGATACTCGGGCAGCATGTTCTCGTAGACTCGTTCCAATTCTTGCTCTGGTGAGAATCCAGCGCGGCGCATCTGGAGGCGAAGGTCCACCAGGTATTCCTTGAAAGGCTCATTCACTTTCTGGAAGTGAGAGCGGATCTCGTCGTCGAGGCGTTGGTAATACCGGGGCGGCAGGAAAAACTCCAAAAATTCCCGGCGGACTTCGGTCCAGGTCCGTCCCTGCAGATCACTGGTTCGGAACCAGCTCTCCGCTCGGCCAGTCAGGAGGACGATGATAGCGTGCGACAAATACTTCCGGTCAATCCGGTAGGTATCCGCTCGTTCTTCGATGTGTTCCACGAAGCTGAGCGTCGGAGGTGCCGTCGAAAGACAGTCCCCATTTGGTCGCTTTGTCGACCACCATCGAGCAGATGCCTGCGTCGGACTGGGATGCACCGGCGCGTGCGGTGCCCTCCGATTTCCCTCGCGTCCCTGGGGACGGGGAAGTGCTGCGTGGTACGGCCAGCGTGTGGTTGCTGCTGGGTACCTTCTCCTGGTAGGGTGCTATTCGCGACGGTGGCTTAACGTCTCTGGAGGGGGTGTATTTGCGTTCCAATTCCCCAAGCCGGATCAGTGTGTCCTCGGAGTGCTCCGGTTGCCTGGCGAACGCGTACAGTCGGGCTCGCTGTTCCTCGACCGTGCCGTTCTGCTCCAGGCCGAGATCGAGAAGGATAGCCTCGAGCTCGTGCTTCTTTCTGTATGAGATCCAGGAGACTCCCATGTTGCTTGGTGTGTCCTGGTTGTGTGTCCTTGTAGTCCTGTGTATCCTTGATTGTCCTGGCTAGGGTGCAGGAGCGGCCTTGAGTGGTTGAGTATCCTTGATGTCCTTGAGAGGATGTGTATCCTTGATATCCTTGGGGGATGTGTATTCTTGAATGATCCTGGTGATCGATGTGGTCTCCTGTGGCTCCGTCGAACGACTGTCCTCCTGTGGCTCTGTTGATTGACTGTCCCTCGTGTGTGTCGGCTGGCGACTTAAATACTTCCCGGCTCTGCCTGCGTCGGGCGTCCCGTTTGGTAAAAGGGACCAGTTGTGCGCAAGGGAACTAAATTTTCTGATCGCTTGGTTGCCGGCTGCGCCGTCCACGTGGCTTAAGTCTGGGGGCTCTCTTTCTCTCCATCTCTCCTTCTGTTCTCTCTCGTATGACTGTACTTCACTTGCGTTTGTTTTAAGTCGTGTGCGACGACTTTTTCCTCTCTCGTAGTTTCTCTCCTCGCAATTACTTTTCCCTATTCCTCTTTCGTTAAAAAAAAACGAGTTTCCCTAGCTTTCGTCCCTAACCTCAAACTTTGACCAAATTTTAACCTAATTTTTCACCTGGTGGTTCTTTACGCCATGAAAGGTGAAAATGTCCTTTCATTATCCTGCCTAGTTCCTGTTCGGGCCAGGATAAATACTCAGTCTATCCAGGGTCCCCTACAGAAATATTTATTTATTTACAGAGACAGGCAGGAAAAGGAGGCGGGCTTTACTTGGGTGTGTGTCTGGAGGGGAAAATCCGGATCCGCGCAGGAATATGCCTGGCCACTGGCCGCCGGGGAAACCGATCCGTCATCCGGATAACGGTTCCCGCTCCGGCCAGTCAACCGTGGGTACTCCGCGTGCGGCCGGTGAGGTAGCCGGGGAAGGGTGTCTGCCGCGGTCGTGCCGCCGGCCCGTCAACCGTGGCGGCCAGCAAACCTGGACAGGCTAAGGGCGGCCGATCCCGTCAGCCGGGAGTCGGTCGTCCGGCCCCGTGAACCGGGTGCCGGTGCCCAAACTACAGGGAGGAATGCGAGCGGCCGATCCCGTCACCCGGGAATCGGTTGGCCGGCCCCGTCAGCCGGGTGCCGGTGCCCTTGTGAGGGTTACCTCACAATAATAATAAATTATAAATGTAACGTGTAACGTTGAACTGTTGTAGAGGGCAGTGAGACTTCCTAGAATCTGTATCTGCGGGGCACGCTATAGTATCCGGCTCTAGCTCGTCGGCTTTGGGGGTGGTGGTCTTGCTTATAGATCAGAAAATTGAGCGTGCGTGCGACAAGCAATAAGCTAGTAAACTAAACCGGAAGAAAGGATACATAAAGTAAAAAAAAAAATAGAATAAAAGAGAAAGTCTAATAAGAGAAAGTGAAAGAAAAGAGAGAAATTTAATATGAACGAAACCTAGGATGTCATTCGGTTCGCATGCTGCCCACCCTACCTATGACCACCTGCCGCTAGAGCATGGCTCTGGTGATCCCTTTTATCCCCTAAGATCGTCAAGACATCAGTTGAGTTCAGTAGTTAAATTGTTTTAAGCTTCCATTATTCAATTCAGAGAAATCACAAATTTATAAAGAGAGGTATATGTAAACATGGTTTTATATAATGCCAAAAAAAGCGTTGTAATAAAATTAGAATAAAGTAAGAAATATACTAATATTATAATACGGTAGTAAAATAAGGAAATAAACTTTTATAAAAGAGTGTGGGTGAATTATAATAATTTTAAAATAAGCCTAGAGATTTTAAGTAAATAATCTTGCTAGATAAATTTATGATTTTTGATTTCTTTTAATTTCATTTGTTTTTAGACAATCTAAGTTTTGCTCTCTCTCCCAAAACGTCTTCCAATAACAATAAAGTTGCATTTTGGCTTAGGTCACTTATTCTTAATAATGTCTTCCATAAACAGCCTAATGTTTATTTAAAACAAGAAAGGAAGCTAGCTTCGGCAAGCCGAAGCTTATATACCCTTGCAGTCATCAAATATGTCGAACAAAATGCATAAAGGCTAAACAACATCGAAGCTATAACGATTTTTCTATTCATTTTCCATATTTCCGACTTAGATCATATGGGAGCTATATGATATAGTTGTCCGATTTTGATCAAATTTAATTCGTAATTTAAGAGTCGTAAGAAAACTCTTTTTTTTTTTTTGGCCTTTATAACTCCTCCCGGAAGCCTAGGGCCTCGACTAGATTCCTCCACTCCGCCTGCTTCCCTGTGGGTTCCACTCTAGCGCCATTCTAACTATGCTATCCTGGTCCTTTCGCAGTACGTGGCCTATCCATCTCCATTTTTTCTTCCTTATTTGGAGTCTTATTGCTGTTTCACCCGTCATATTCCAGAAGTCTATGTTGGAGATTCTGTTTGGCCAGAAAATCCCGCATATTATTCTGAGACACTTGTTGGTGAAAGCCTGCAATTGCTGGATTATTGTCTTTGTTCCGTATAGTAGGACGGATTTTACGCATGAGTTTAAGATCCGTATCTTTGTTTTTCTGCTTATTTGTCGGCTTCTCCATATGCGATAGAGTCTCCCGAAGACAGACTCTAGCTAGCCTACTCGTCACATCTTCTATCACGCCACCGTTGCTTAACGGTGCCAAGCTATGGAAAACTCTCGACGCATTCTATTGGGTTTCCATCTACGATGATATTTCCTTGGCTGGTGTGATTGAGTTGCATCGCTTTTGTCTTCGCAGTGTTAATTTGTAGACCCACACGGCTGGCTAGGTTCACGAGGTCATCAACTTTGGATTGAGTATCGCTTAGTTCGTTACACAGCGGTAATAATGAGGGAAGCAGATATGGAGTAGGGATATTCGTAGCCAGAAGAATGAAAGAAAACTCTATATTTCAAAAATTATACTTGTCTGATGAAAAACCACGATGTTATAATTTTACTTCCGTTATTTCTATATAGATTTTTCGATCTATCCTATGACAGCTATAAGTTATAGTTGTACGATTTGTATGAAACGTTTTTTCTCAATATAAGAGTTGTTAAAAAACTTGATATTCAAAAAAGCATGCTCATGGGATAAAAAACAACGATGTTATCAATTTATTTCCATTAATTCTGTTCAGAGGAATGCAACTAATTTGTTGCTACCGCTTTGTGCACTTCCAAAAAAAGGCCAATGTTTGTGATTTAAATGAGATGTGGTTTTATATTTGTGTCTCTGAGTGTTATTTGTTTGTTCTTGTGTACAATGTTTATGTGTTTTTCGTATACAAGATCGCGACCGACAACTTGCTTGCGAGGGTTTGCGAGATCGAACGAAAGTATGTGAATCGGTTAAGAGTTGCGAAAAGAATTGAATGATAAAGAAGATAGATAAAACAAGATAAGCAAAGTTAGGCGCGATTGCAATTATGCGGGTGTTGGTAAACAACTTTACGTTTACGTTACGTTTACGTTACATTATCAGTTGGACATTTGAATTTAGGATACAATTTACAAGTTAGGGGTTCTGCTCCGAACATGCTCCCCCCGCTGGAAGAGTCACGCTGACAGACGAGGTGGTCTCAAAGGGCAGAACGGCCAACTTGCCAACAGCTCTTCGGATGATGCCTGCAGCTGTTCGAATAACTGCAACACGGGCCGCGCCATCTGGTCCAAGTACGGTGCTCTCAACTCTGCCCATGCGCCATTGGAGTGAAGGAAGATTGTCGTCCTTAATGATGACTATACTGCCGGGCGACAAATTTGCCTTTTCTGATCGCCATTTCCCACGTTCCTGGAGTAGCGATAGGTAGGCAGTGCTCCACTTGTGCCAAATCGCCTGCTGCATCTGGGCAAACTCGCTGCCAGCGACTTAGCCGATTGATGTTGAGGTGGGTGATGTCGGGCTCGTCTGCCAATAAGAAAATGTCCAGGCGTGAGAACCTCCAAGTCGCTAGGATTTTCTGAAATGGGGCAGAGTGGTCGAGAATTAAGCATGGCAGACACTTCGCAAACGAGAGTACGAAGTTCATGAAAAGTTAAAACCGATCTTCCAACCACCCTATGAAAATGATATTTGGCTGCTTTTACTGCGGCCTCCCACAAGCCACCAAAATGAGGCGAGCGAGGGGGTATGAACTGCCAATTAATTCCATTAGACAACAGGTCATTGCGAAGCTCGATATTTGGAGGATCAGCGAGGAAGATTTGCCTGAGCTCCTGCAACTCGTTTTTCGCACCAACAAAGTTTGTTGCGTTGTCCGACCAGATCGTGTTGGGCTTGCCCCTGATGCTGGTGAAACGCTTGAGAGCGGCGAGGAACGATGCGGTTGATAAATCCTCTACTAACTCCAAGTGAGAGGCCTTAGTTGCGAAGCAAATAAAAACTGCCACGTAACACTTCGCAGGCGGTCGATTCCTGACTTCCGATTTCGAGAAGAATGAGCCACAAAAGTCGATTCCAGTCGTTGTAAAAGGACGACTTGGTTGCACTCGGCTGGCCGGCAAGGGGGCCATGATGTGCTCCATCATTCTCGGCTTCAGTCTGAAACACCTGATGCATTTGTTTACGATAGCTGCGACTGTCTTTCTGCCTCCAATTGGCCAAAACCTCTGGCGCAAGGCAGCTAGTAGACTTTGGGGTCCTGCGTGCAAAAACTTGTGATGAAAGTGAGCGACGATTGATTGAGTGACAGGATGATCCTTTGGCAGCAAAATGGGCTGTCTCGCATCGTAGTCCAGAAGCGAGTTTTGCAAGCGACCACCAACACGAATTAATCCTGAGTCATCTAGAATAGGATGCAACGACGAGAGCTTGCTATTTGATGCAACCTGCTTGTTCTTTCGCAATGCTTTGTAGTCCTCTGCGAAGAAAACACGCTGGATCCCTTTGATGAGTAGATGCGTGCCACCTTTGACGTCATCGACTGTGAGTGGTCCTTTGCGACGCATTTGATTTTGGAATTTGAGAAGCCAGAACCGGTATATGTATCCAAAAACTCGCTGCAGCTTTCCAAATGAG